TTTCTTTTTCAATGTGTAATTCATCATGGATTTAAACTTCAAAAATTTTAAAAATAATGCATAGATTTTTTTTATTGTAATCGTCACGAGTTTTCTGTTAAATATTATGTAGCATAATTGATGTGCACTTCTTAATTGCCAAGAAAATATTCAAAATTTTTTTAACAAAATGCAAATTATTTGGATAAAATGAATTACAGGATACATTATAACACAACATAACCCGTATCAAAATCAGGTGTCATAATGTTGATATCCCGATTTGCTTTAAACTTAAGAAATAATTATCGAGCAGCCTTGCGAGTGTGGTCCTTTGAGTTGAATTCACTAATAACAGAACGTACAAAGCGTTTGCAATATATATTCAGAATTTACCGACGGTTTTATGAATATCAGCATTTTAAAGATATTTGTCACTCAGTTCATGGAAAAGTAAAGGATAAGAATTTTCGACGCAGAAATATATTATACGCTCTAGGGCTTACTCTATTGGCTACTATCGGTGTTTCCAACGAAAACGTCAACTGGAGAGATGTACGCCTAAGTGTAAAGAATTTTGGTTATTGTTCTAAGGATATCGAGTTTATTAACACCCTTTCCTCGAATATCAGGTGTCAGGATTGCGTAACGAAACGAATGAGATACTGCTATTGTTCACTTGGTAATGAAAAGTGTGTATCTGATTCTGGTACATTGTCAATTAAGAATTGTAACAATAATTTGGAAGTAAGATCTAGTGTCGAAGATGGGTCAGCAATGATCGAAGTTGCCGATGAAAATCATTGGCGACCATTTTTAAATAAGAACGAATTATCAATTTGGACACGAGATGAGTCAGGCAACAGGAACTCGTACAAGGTGTATGCAAGTTATGATGATATAAACGCCATGGATTTATTAAATGTACAAACTGATTTAGATTATCGAAAAGAATGGGATCAGACTGCCGTAAAATTAGATATCATTGAAACTGATCCAGAACATTACGCAAATTCTCATCTTATATATTGGGAGATGCAATGGCCAAAATTTTTTGCTAATCGTGATTATGTGTTCAGCCGTCGTTACGTTATAGATAGAGAACATAATATAATATTGATAGCAAATCGAGGTATTGAACATCCAGATTATCCCGAGAATAAATCTTTGATAAGAGTAAGGGATTATTGGAGTTATATGCTTATTATGCCCTATACACACTTTGATGAGCCAGGGGTACATTTTGTTTTGACTTATTTTGACGATCCTGGAATTTCCATACCGACAACATTACAGACTTGGGTTACTGAAAAACAAATGCCTGACTTTTTGAACCGAATGTATGAAGCGACAAAACGATACGGTAGCAGAATGTCTGTTCGAAACTTAAGAACCTTTAATCAATTCAGAATAACATATGCATACCAGGACAAGCTTGCAAAATTGAAAAAGTTATGGAAAGTGCCAACGCAAAGAAGCTCTACACCAAGAGATCTCGATAGAGATTCTTATACAGTAAGAAAGAAACCAAAAGCAATAGAAAAATAATTACGAAAAAACTAACTGAAAGCTAAAAATTTTCTAAAGTTAACTTATAAAATTAAAATTAAATCAAGTAATAGCTTTCATGATTTGGTACTTAGAAACTACTTGAAGAATAATAGGGCAGAAAAATTGGGAATGATTTTTGGAATATAAAGAATTATCGCTATTTATTAAAAATTTCAATTTATTTTGTTAATACAATTTTCTTTAAAATCATTTTTTGAAATAAAATAACTTGATATGTTACTATATTATTTTTTTTTTTGGTAATAAATGTCACTTTCTATAGACCTAGCGAACACAATCTGCAAGCACATGTCTTTCTGAAGTTCACTGTCATACAACAACTGATATTAGGTATTTTAGATACATTGTACTTATTACCATAAATTAAGTTAAAAGTTCTAGGAATAGTGTAAGTAGGCCACGAAATCTTTGTCCTGGTTACTAAAATCAGAAAAAAATTATTATACGTTAATCTTCGTCAGTGACCGACAAAAAACAACTCCAAAATCCCGCGTACACCCATCTGACAACGACTTTCAGTAAGAACAGCAACTTTTTCTGTTATACTATGTAACAATACGTATATGACTTTGTTGTCGATATTTTAACAAGTTGACAAAATTTGTATGAAAATCACTTTACAACTTATATCTTGTAAATTATATAAATTATTACTTATATCTCTCGATATTTAGATGATGAAAATACATATATAGTGTTGCAAAATAAATAAATCTAAATCTATTTTAATACTGATATCGAAGGTTCTATCAAAGTGCGCCTATGGCTCATAAATGTTGTCGCTTGAACGGTAACCCAAGCGCAATCTGTTTAAAGTGCCTTTAAACTGAATGCCCCATAATATAATCATTTATTTACATTCGTAAAACACTCTACAAGAGATATAGACCATTGAAATAGTTTTGATAACTGAAAAAGTGTCTGTAAGAAAACTATATTTATACTTCTTTCTCCTTAATATGGACTATTCACAACGAGCGTATATATTTTTAGGGTAATCATTCCTTTGTCATTTATTAAAACACTGTGAGACACAATTCTTCTGCTTTAAATATAGAAGTCAAGTCACAAAAATAAAACATATTTTCATATCTGTAAGGCGTAGTCATATAGTCGTATGTATTGAACTCAGATATGATATATTTATCAAAGCGTTCCTAAATACAATTCTTTTGGTTACAATATTAAAGAAGAGATTTACAAATGAAAGGATTTATATATCCCTAAATCTATTGAACTATTGCAATAGTTCATTCAATGAATGATCCTTGCAATAAACTCTCTAGTACACTTAAGAGAACACTATTACAAAGTTATACATAACAATCAAATTCAGGCAATTTCTTTGAAAATGATAACTATTCAATGGTTTATACGCTAAAAATATAGTATCAATGCAGTGATATATGTATTGCAAATCAATATTGTTTACTCTTAAGACTTAAATATTGTTCGTAAAAAAGAAGATTATGAAATAAAAAAAATAAAACATTAAATTAAAAAATTTATAATAGGTTAATAAATTTATCTACTTAAGAAATATATTTATATGCAATGAAAGTAAAAATCTGATCCATACTAATAATATCTTAATATAGATAAATGGTCACAATTAAAAATTTTATTAAATATATTTAAAGCTTTTATCGATACTTAATTAAAATTAATAGCAACACTACGTTTCTTTCATTTATCAATTTTTCTTCTTTAATATTAAAATTAATAGCAACTTTTCGATACATTTTTTTATTAGTTTGCTCGTCAAGTTTCTCGTCTTTTTTTTCATAGTTCTGAAAACTCAAGCTCTTCTGATAGATAGCTACTAAAGCTTCAATGTTCATTTTTTATCATCATCACCATAAAATAAAAACAATATAATTTTATAATAATGACTCCAATTAAGCCATCATTTTAGTGGACAAGTAAGTTGGCTGCTCTTCTCTCCTCCTTTACTCTGTTTAACGGATATCCAATTCAGTGTCTAACATGGTAGCGGACATGTTTAATCAAATACGTGACTTGGTTTCAGTTTCAATGAAGTTCATTCATTACCTTAAGACGATGGTGCCTATTCGCCTAAATAGCAACAAAGACTAAGGCTGTTTTTATAGAATAAGACCGTTTTTATAGAATAATGTCGTCATTATGTTACTATCGTGAAACTTACTGATATAACACATAACTAAATTACTTCTTTAAAAACTCTACAAATATAGAATTCATATCAATACTTTATATAGTGTTATTAGCTATATATAGTGGTGGATATTTTTCTTGTATGAAATCAGTTATTATTAGAATACTAGTTAAGTAATACAACAAAAACATGTAGTTTAATTCTGTAAAGAATAATCATTTGACTATGTCAATTTTAATACTTAAATTTGATTAAAATCCAAAACAACTAGCTATCACTATCCTAAATTATTATAAACTGACTTCTTTATTTTAGAAGATGATGCTCAAAGAGAAAGAGACTCATTTTTACTATTTACTACAGTAGGTTCTGGAGCTCTATATATTAATTTTGGATCCTTAAAAACGTTAAGTGATCCATCCTAATTGTGTTTTTGTATGACGTTAAATTTGAGAGCTATCGCAGGATGATGAGATTTCATTGGGATTGTTCGAATAAAAAGTTTAACAAATAATAATCTAGCGTTTGACTTAGTTTTTCATTCCATAATTGTGGAAGATAATGTTCCATTGAATTAATTAATACAATAAAATAAAGGTCCAAGGCAGAATAAAAATTAAACATAAAGATCATACATAAGGCCTGCAAAGAATGATTTTAGAAGAAGTAGTCACAAAAATTATAAATAACAATTTTTTAAACATATTCTTTGCACATACCTACATTGAATAAAATTAATATTTTTTATTATGATTTTGGAATGTTGTAAGGAATTCAATTTAACCAACAAGATATTGTGCTTGTTAACTGTACTGTAGTTTATTTACTTTAAAAAAATAAACCAGAATTGAAAACCTGATTGTTTTTTATACATACTAATTTGTATAGTACACGGACAAATGGGTAGATAAATTAAGTAATAGAGAAATTCAATTCCTCATATCGATTAACATCATAGTAATAGAAATAAAATATTTCTTTTATATATATGATTTATAATGGGCTCATATTTTCTCAGCAGCCAGTTCAAGAGCTAAATAGTTCCAATACTCCAAATGCAGAATCTCGGACTTGGAACATAGAAGTAAATCGAAAATTTCTAGATTAAGAAACTATTCTAACGGCGTATTAGAATATAGGATGACATGCATCCAGGCATGGCCTACTCGACGATATTTCTAACATTGCTGTTGGCCATACTTGGTACTTGTATTTATCAACACAATCAGCTGGTTCTAATGTGCCCATCCTTCTACCCATGATTATACCGAATATGGAGTTAAAACAGATTTTGTAACTAATTGGGGACGATTTGTTCAGTCCTCAACTTCACCTAACTATTCTATATAGTCTTTTTAGTGGTGTTATAAACTTATATAAACCCAAATAACTTGTTATAAACCCAAATATTTTTCATAATAATTTATCACTATCTATAAAATTCTTCAAATATATTTAAGAATAGATGAGCCTAAGTAATGCTAACTTATTATAACTAAGTATATACCTTACTAAATTTTACCACAAATTTTATTATTTTCATAATTATTATTATTTATTGTGCTAGCTACATTAAATTAAAAATAATTGACAGTTTTTTAATATTCAATATAAATGTAAATTAAAAACATAGAAATATTTTTCAGCCACAAGTTTTCCTCCATCAAAATTTGGCGCATTTTAATGGCGAACTGTGGAAGTGTGCAAATTTCCATTAACACGAACACGGCCCAACTAATGCAAAAGTGTGTATTGAAAAAAATATTGTAAAAAATAGAAGCCGCCATTTTTAATAATACTCCTCAGTTAACGACTTTTTTAAGTTTTTTTTTTCTTTTTCTTTTTGCTTTTATTTCTTATCAAAGCAAGAAGGTGCATTTATGTGTTCTCCTTTCTTAACTTAACGTAAACTTAAACATGGCAGGCGTACGAAGTTCTTATCGTTCGAATCGTTGGGGCTCTTTTGATTTTAATGTTAACTCACAAGTGCGGTTTTGAACTGAAAAAAATAATAAAATTATATATTTATACATACACTAATATGTATTTACTTATTTATATATGCGTATCTGTATATCAAGTTGAAATGCATAAAAAAATAAAATTTTTTTATAATATTTTATTTTATGCTTACATATTTTTAATATAAATTCTTTGAAAGCTATGCCCGCTGCTTTATTTAAATAAATATTTGCGATATTTGAAGAGTTAAAGTTTTTTTTACTCATATTAAAGAAAAGATGATTGTTTGTAAATACTCATATTTATTTATTATTTATATACATTTATTTATTTTTTATTTAATTCAAATGCTTTGATATTACTAAAGAATAGCAGTTTTAAACTTAAGTCATTTAAAATTACAAATAATATATAAAAAAAACCTTACTTAAAATATAAAAAAATTAATTTAAATTATAAAAAAATTTTAAAATATAATACGATTAAAATTATAATAAAAATGTATGTTGTAATTTAACGTCAAATTTTCTGACGGAAGTGACTATTATATTTAATAGAAACTAGTATATTTCATAAAAATATAAAAATTTATATTAAAACTAAATTAAATTTAAGCTTTCAATTAATTTTTATTTTTTTTTGAAAATAATAACTTAATTTCATATAAAACTAAAAACCTAAATAAAAATTTATTTAATTAATTTAAATTAGAACAAGAAAGAATAGATTGAAGAGGTAGAAAAAGAGAAAGCATGATAATAAAATGCGAGCAATTTAAATATAGAAATATATAATCTTAATAATCATAATTATTTATTAGTTCTACATTGTAAATAAAGTGAATAAAATAATTTCTTTATTGAATATTTTTATTATTTTACAAGAACACTTCACAACAGGTTCTCTAGAGCTATAGATAATGTGGACGCACTCAAAGTATATTTCACATACCTTTGACATTGTAGTGATCTCCATATGACATGATTCATTGTCTTTTAGTGGAAGAGAACTCATACTTCTTTGAATGACGTCTT